AAGCCCCCCCCCAAACCCCCCCAAGCCCCCCCAAGCCCCCCCCAAGCCCCCCCCAAGGCCCCCAAGCCCCCCCCCAAACCCCCCCCAAGCCCCTCCCCAAGCCCCCCCTCCCCCAGCGTCGGGATGCGAGGGAGAATTTGCGCAATGTGTTTGACTCGGTGTGGAGTGGCGTGCAAGTCCACGCCGCCAATGATGTAGCTCTTCTCTTGCCAACTCCCCCGAGAGAGGCGCGATTGTGCGGCGACAGTGCCGCACCTACGGGAAAGGTTGTTTATTTTATTCATTGAGCTCCTTCAAAGTCGTCGTACACCCACGGAGGTCCGGGGAACGCAGTGCATTAAAACATACAAGGTGGGGGGGGGGGGGGGGGGGCAGGTCATAGGGTACGGAATTTTCACCTCGGCCTGTCCCTACAAAAAAATATTTTGTAAAGTTGGAGACATCGTATTGGCTCGAGTGATGGACGTCAGCTCGCGTGCAAGAGCTGAACGAATTGTGCATCGCTGGACCGTGATTGATGGTGGCGGCTTGTGGTCTTCATCCAGCAGTGGATAGTTCATGGCTCATGATGACAAGAACACAATGCGTATTTACACCATGTTGCTGTTTTCCGTTGAATGGGCCCCAGCGTGTTTATGAGTATCCAGCACAACAGAGCAGCCCTGACTTTGCTGACGAACGGTAGATTGTCGAAACTGATCCAGAATTTACCTGCTTTAAATAGACGCTGCTGACGAACATAAGTCCAAAAGGACGTGTCATTTATACGTGGATGGAGGGATGTCATCCTTTTTTAAATGCAGTATATAGGTATAATGTGTATGGGTGGTGGGACAGTGCAGTGGTGAACCCGGCAACTTTAATTCAATTCCTAGCCCCCATCCTTGGCTAACAGCAGTGGTGAGTGATATATAAGTCAGTTCTGGACCCCACTCGCCTCTAGTAAACCATATACATGTATATATTTAAATGCACTAAATCAGTGGTTCTTAACCTTTACCGCAGCCTTGCACCCCTTTGTTCCGCAATCGTAAAAAATGCATAATGTTAATAAACACACAAGTTTGATTAAACAAAGTAGTTGTACTCACGTGCCCGTGCTTAATTATTGTTTTCAATTATTTACCTTCTAAACACATCTGTCTGGCATGTCTCGCACCCCCATAAGGGGCATCTCACACCCCCAGATGGTGCGTGCACCCCGAATTAAGAACCACTGCATTAAATGCTAAGTTTTACTTGCCGACTTAGTTACCCAACATGCAAGGCACTGCAACTGCACGAAAGGGCCCAGAGACCAGAGGGGCCCAGGCACTGGGCTACGCAGAGGCCCCATCCCATGCCTTGCAATGAGGGCCCATACCAACCATACTGCGGCAGTCCCCAGCAAATACTCTGCCCTGATTGATCATCATTCCCAAGAGATAAACAAAAACAAATGCACGATTGCATTAACTTTCATTCCCATTTCGTGTAACGAGTTAATAATTGTGGACACTAAATGCAAAAACGCCTCGCGGAGGGTCTGACCACCCAGTCGGGTCCGGCCAGGGCTGAGCCACCCAGAGACTGTGACAAATCAGAGACAAAACCGAGGAGAAAAATCACACTCGCCAAATCCAAAAACCGGCTTTTTTGCCTCATTAGGCAGTGGCCTGCATGACTAATACTGTTTTATTCCCTTTGTCGGGCTCGCACCGTGGAACGCACTCAGCCCATCAATTTGTCGGAATGCATTTTAAAAAGGCTCATGGGCCCGCGGTGTGAAATGGCCAGCGACTTGTTAGTGTCGTTGATGCAGCGTTCCCTCTTCCCGCGGCAAACTGGGAGAACGTTTCGTTGCCGCTGTTGTAAATGTACTACGAAGTTTACTGGTGCCAGAATATATATGAATTGCAAAAAAGTGCCGACGAAAAATATGATATGATAAATTGCAGAATCATATACGAGTATAAAATATATATATATTTTTTAATCTTTATACGTGTTTTCTTTTTATTATTTTATATATGTTATCATTCCTTTAACCTCACGGGCCTTAAATGCATTACATGAGAGCGGTAATCTTGTTCTGCAACTGCATACCAATTCAGCACTTGTTAAAGTACCCGTTAAAGAACATTTGTTCAACTGAGCATAATTACGTTTTGAAAGTCTTGTTTCAATAAATAGTTCAATTTACAATTGCGTTGTTTTAAATGTGGCATTGCAACCTCCTCTTTTCGAACGCAGTTTAATACTTTTTAGATCTAACGTACAACTAAAAAGCATGACATTGTTCACGCAATGCAGACCTGCAAAATATAATCCTAGTGCCTGCAGACCCCCCCCCCCCCTCTCCTCCCACCAAAATAAACATGATAAAAGGTCAGTAAAACAAGAGCCACCGGTTATTTCAGCGTTGCACCTTTACCACCCGACTACTGGCCTGCCATCCTTACGATTTCCCGATTGATGCCAATAACAATTACAATAATAAGGCTTATTAAGCCAAAGTACTTTTTTTTTAAAGGAGGGTCCTGCATTTGGATGTTTTTGGCCAACACCATTGCCACTGGATTTTGTTTTAGTTCTTGGGAGGAAACTGGGGACGGCCGAAACCCATGCAGAACATGGTGAGATAATACAAACTTTACACAGCAAGGCACCCGGCGGGGAACGAGTGTTACCACTGCGCCAGCCTAACACCCAATGTCCATACATTTAAAAAGGGGGCAGCGTCTGCCCGAGCTGAGACCAGGGCAAAGGGGGGGGGGGATGGGGATGCGGGGGAGGGGATCGCATTGTCTGGCAATGATGCGGACGTCAGAGAATCATTCCTGCAATTTGCCACGTTGCTGTTTTGCGGCGTGTACAGCGAAGCCCCATGCAGAGAGGCAATGGGCTGTGACAGCGCAGTCGGAGCGCAGCACAAAGAGCCGGTAATAGGCATGAGGTGTCATGTAGCATAACTCTTTTGCTTGGCCTCGGGGCTCTGTTGCAGAGGTCCGCCAGCTCAGCCCCTGGCTGCTGAGGCCTCCCCGCAGAGCCCTCGACGATTGTATTTGGTTATTATGAAGTGTATTTGGTTATTATGAAGTGTATTTGGTTATTGTGAAGTGTATTTGGTTATTGTGAAGTGTATTTGGTTATTATGAAGTGTATTTGGTTATTATGAAGTGTATTTGGTTATTATGAAGTGTATTTGGTTATTATGAAGTGTATTTGGTTATTATGAAGTGTATTTGGTTATTATGAAGTGTATTTGGTTATTATGAAGTGTATTTGGTTATTATGAAGTGTATTTGGTTATTATGAAGTCTATTTGGTTATTATGAAGTGTATTTGGTTATTATGAAGTGTATTTGGTTTGTCGGATATGTAAGTCGGGGAGACCCCACCCACACACTTTGGACGTTTTGGGGACGTCCTGGCTGCGCACGTTCCTGCAGACTGTTCGATTACAGATGAGTTATGTGACGTTCGACCCATCACGGATAATGGGAGTTTCTACCGTCAGCGCTCGCCTCCGGCTAGAACAAAGCTCTGGCAATTGCTTTGGCACGCCACATCCATCTCGCCTTATTTTGTCTTCGTGTTACTTTCTTTTATTCATTCTCATTCGAAGAAAGCAGCGTAGGGTTCAATAAACAATTAGAGGATTTGCGTGGATAAGCCACTACATCAGCGACGGTGCCTCGCGTCAATGATCCCTACGTCCGAAGGCGGCGTAGCAGCATTCCAGAAAATATGGGTTGCGAAAGTGAGCCCTGTCCATGACGACGGTGCGTTGTGTGATGAGAAATGTCACCCGTGGGGCCACAGACGCTCTGTGTCAGCCAGGGGACGTCCTGCTCGCGGATGGTTTCCGTGTGGCTTTTGGTTTAAAATCACAGCTTAGATCTGCGAAGTTCGCCTGCCACTTTGTCACGGATAAGAGGAGTTCTGTTGTATAATATTATTATAATTATAAAATATACCGACTACTGACGCAGTACGGGGCCTCATGTTCATGCACTTCTACATATTCAAATGTCCCATCATCACCACAGCCGTAAACATCTGTTACTTTCATACGGGAGTATAACGTGGACCCAAAGATACCCAAGGTTTTTCGTCCAAAATGCTGTGGGCGTCTCTCTTTGCCACGTGATGCTGCGGGTGTTCAGACAACCACAACACACCGCAGTGGCTGAGCTCGAGCTGCCAACGATAGTGTCACTCGCCTCTTAGTGCAATTTCTGTGAAAGAGGTCGTCCTTAGCAATTGTCCCGTCGACAGGAATTGTGATTCTTCAATCGCATGTTTCTTCAACTTTCCTGCAGTCTGGGTATTGTAGAATTTTGTTGTTTTCTTTCATTAACACGTGCCTGTGTAAAACCAATAGAATGAAGAAGTTCAACACTCTGGCTAAACTTGCTAATGCTGTATCGAACTCAAAACATATTCCTGAGACTCTATGATACTTTCCTGCTGAAGAAATAGGCATTATAATTATTATAGACAAAGACTATGCAGAAAGAAGACCGTTCTTTGGCCTCTGCTTACCACTCGCAAATGCCCTTTTTTATTATAATATATGGACTTTGGCATCATTGGAAAATGGTAAAAAGTCATCATCATCACGATCCATGAGCAGATGGCCCGTAAGTGTCCACTGCACATTTCGTCATTTGTTTGCACTTTCCTCTGTCTTGTGCCAATATTCTCAAGTCGTGGCCACATCTTTCTGGCACCGATCGCTTACGATGTCGTCGTCAACCCATTCTCCGTTAGGTCTTCCTCTCTGTCCGGTTCCTTCAATGTTTTTTCCGAACCAGTGGGCATGCCCACACGTGCCCTGTGCCGGTCGACCTCCTTACTGTGTTACGTTCCAAAGTATTCTGCTGGGTGGGTGCAGGTGAGGACGGGGGGGGGGGATTTAAATAAAAAAACTTGCCCCAATTGTTTATTTTTCATGTGAAAAAAAATATTTCGATCAAGTGCACGGCCAAAGAAGCAATCTTGAATGCAATCACGTGTTCATAAATCAGCAGTAGTTTATTCAAACATTTTAGAAATACCAATACGCAAGGATACTAAAGTTTCTGAAATTTTTAAAACCGTATTCTCTTCGGAAAAAATGTACAATATTAAAAATATGTGCAATCCACGTTTCTCAATACTTACTTTAATAACTTTGTTTTCTACGTGAAAAATAACATCTCGTTCGAAAATATCGGATTCGCATGATAAATACTAGGCATAAGAGCTCTACAGAATAAAAGGAATATAAAAAAGTACCTCATTTCCCCTTCCTATACAAAAACACACACACAACACCGACATGAAGGCAAGTGTTGAACGTATGTACAAGCGATAAAGTTTCAGGCACATGGTTAATTCCGCAAAATGTACACTCACGACAACGCACCGGCTCCCTCAGTAAGTCACGTCTCAACCCCTTCGCATCGCACGCACCGCACACACGCACCTCCGATTCGCACGGTTGGCCCCGTGCCGTGAGAAAGAAGTTCAACGTACGTGCACACGCATGCGCGATGCGAGAGAATAATGAAGAGAAGAGTCCAGTCGGCGTGTATCCCTGCTCGAATGACCGTCATGTGGCGTTCATCGCCCCTGGTGGCCCTGAGCCCGAGGCGGACGTCTCACGTCTCTCCCGCGAGGTCAACCGACCGCCGTTGACTTTGCGCTAAAGAAGCGACGCGAGTGGAAGGAAAGAGATGAAGAGGAAGGCAGAAGAGGAGGTGGGCCGAGGAGCGGAAAGGGAGACGGCGCAGGACCAGGGCAGCGTGGGGAAGATTGACAAAGAGAACGGGACCCCACATGATTGGGAAAAACGCGTGGAAGAAGAAGAAGGGGGGTGGGGACACATCTTTTTTAAGCAACAAGGCGTGGTGGAATAACGCACTGAGCCCACCTCCCCCCCCCACCCCAGACGTCGCGAACTCGCAGGAAGAGCCTCGACTCTGGCAGTGCCACACGGCCGTGTCAAGCACAGGAGGCGATCATCAACGTGTAAGCGAAGGTTAAAGGTGCGGCCCTGCAAGTTATTGCTGAAGCCACCGCTGGGAGAAGGGCCTCAACTAAGAGGGCACTTTTGGCCTACTCTTCCACACTCGCCTGATGCCTTGGAAAATGCGGGAGTGCTCGCAATCTACCCCACACGCAACCTGCTGATTGACAATGTGAGGTGTACCCATTGATACTGTTCGGAATCATGATCTTTATTTATCCTGGAGGAATCCGATGAGCTATAAAGCTCTCTTTCACAGACGTTGTGTGGACCCAGGCAGAGGGTAGGGGGGAGAGGTGGGCCAGGGAGTTTGAATTGCTGCACCAGGGAGTTTGAATTGTAGCCAGGGAGTTTGAATTGCTGCACCAGGGAGTTTAAATTGCTGCACCAGGTAGTTTAAATTGCTGCACCAGGGAGTTTAAATTGCTGCACCAGGGAGTTTGAATTGCTGCACCAGGGAGTTTGAATTGCTGCAGCAGGGAGTTTGAATAGCTGCACCGGGGAGTTTGAATAGCTGCAGCAGGGAGTTTGAATAGCTGCACCGGGGAGTTTGAATAGCTGCACCGGGGAGTTTGAATAGCTGCACCAGGGAGTTTGAATAGCTGCACCAGGGAGTTTGAATAGCTGCACCAGGGAGTTTGAATTGTAGCCAGGGACCCCCCGGCGTGGCAAGTCCAGAGTGCCGACCAGAGCAGACACGACAGCATCCCCCCCCCCCCACCACCTCCAACCGTCCCCGAATTTACAGCACGGAAATTTCGACGTCGTCCTCCGAGTCCTCGAACGACGCCGTGAGATGCCGCTCCTCGTGAAACTCCTCGTAGCGGAAGCTCCCGCTGCTACAGCCGCTGCTGCTGCTGCTGCTGAGCGGCGTCGACGGCGACTGTCGTTCAATTTCATCCACCGCCGTGGCGGCGGTGGTCGTGCCACCGGGAGAAAGGGCCCCGCGCCGGCCCTGCACGTCGCTCAGGTCCGGGTGCGGGTTGCCCTTGGTGGGCAGCGTCTGCTCCCGGCAGCCGCCGGCAGAAAGCAGCTCCCGCTCCTTGGAGTTGCGCCACTTCATGCGCCGGTTTTGGAACCAGATCTTGACCTGCGCGCGCGCGCGCGGGCGGTGCGGAGACGAGTGACACAGGGGTCATGGTTTGCGAATGAAGCGAAGTTCGTCGGGCGGTTTGTGGGTAACGAGATGGCACCAAGCGGTGGATACCAGTGGGGTGGGGGGTGGGGGGTGATTACCACCCGCTACACCCGGAAATTGGTATGTTGTTGATGTTTACTCGAGAAAATACGTGGGATTTTTGGTTTTGTTTCTATTATTCATGTGTGGCCCTATTTAAAGAAAAGGTTGAAATGTTTTACCCATAAACAATATTCGCATGGTCTACTATGAATTGATTCTACGGCAATGGGCGACATGTCCCTATGCCCCTGTCTTAAATTGCCGGTGAACAGAGTGGAAGAACGCAGGCGTCCATCATAAACACCTCGCTGTTTCACTTCGTTCGCACCGTACGCAGACAACCACGCTCAATCGGAGGTGCCTCTGAATCGCAGGACCCAGCGTGCTCACCGTCGCTCCGCACGGCAGCGGTGGCTGTCGACCTTCTTTTGGCTACTTGTTGCATTCCAGTTTCAACCGGGTTAACCCCCTTTTGTCTGACCCAAAACAAGGTTCTGAGAAATAAATAATTAAATGGGAAAATGAGCGGAAATATTTTGAACTATTGTCCATTTTGTGCGGTGTTCTAACAAGCTAGGAACAGCAAGCGAATAAAAAAGTCAACGGACGCTCTGCCATGCGCTCGCTGGTTACTCTAGGAAACCACCTTGTTAACAATCAGTGCGCTTAGAAAGGTATTTTATAGCGTTCTAGGTTACCATATGGAATTTAACTGTATCATAGTTATTTCATATTCGCGGATTCATACCTGATTGTTCACCAATGACTCTCACAAATTATATAACTTCACACTAATTAATCATCTCATATACCCCCTGGGACATCGCCACGTACTCCCAGGGGGTCCGCGTACCTCCTTTTGAGAACCACTGATCTACAGTGCAAGAGCTCTTTGTGTGCGCAGGCCGGTTAAATCCTCCTGCGATCGATCGGCAGGTAGATCAGAATCTCTATTTAGACTGGAGGAGGAATTTTGTGAGCTATGAAGCTCTTTTTTTCGAGATTCCCAGTATGGGCGGGTCAGCAAATTGCAATAGCAACAATACAAACACAACAAGGACAACAAAGATAGGAGTGCGAAACAGAGAAAATGGAAGGAAAAGTCACTAAGTGTGAACAAAACAACGCATTAGTTATACATGTAATCTTCGATTTACGGCAGCCGCGGCTCACCTGCGAGTCTTTGAGGCCGAGCTTAGTGGCGAGCTTGCGTCGGTCGGGCTTGCTGATGTACTTCTGCTTCTGGAACATCTTCTCCAGGGCCTTGCGCTGCACGTCCGAGAAGACGGCGCGGCGCAGCATGCCCCGACGCGGCTTCCCGCGGGCCGCCAGGGCCCACGAGAACGAGCCGGGCATGGGGATGACGGCCGAGGCTACACAGGGGGGGAGGTGGGGTGAGGGGAAGGACGGCATGACGACGGTGGCTGCGTTAGCGAAGTCACTTTGGTTCAGTCTGGGGCGCGGCGGTGGCTGTGAGATGTTAACTACCTCGCCTGGTATACAGGAGGTCGTGGGTTCGATCCCGACTCTGACGCCTGCCGTATATGTTTGGAGTTTGCGGTGTCTGTCTCCCCGTCGTCGCGTAGATTTTTACCCCGGCTCCTCCGGTTTTCCTCTCCACATTTAGAATCACGCGTTTCGAGTATTTGGCTGCTATACATTTCCACATGATAAGCCACTTCAGTGAGCGATCATTTGTGGCCAGGTCGCTTTTGAAAAATAGTCATATAGCTCAGTGGGCCTTACTTGGTAAATAAAAAAAATATATATATGAAATTGTTGTTGATGATGTCTGACCGAGGTGAGAACTCGAGAGACGGTGGACGAGTCTTATTTGTAAGAGTTTGAAAACTAATTTATTTTAGAACTACTTTTTGTGTTTAGTTTGTTGTCCCTCCCCCGATCACCGCCGCATCTCCGATTAGCACGGTCGGCTACATACGGTGCAAAAAAAGTTATACGTACATACAGACCCGGGTCATTAAAATGACGTAAAGGAATACAAACAAAACGCAGCAAGGAAAATTTAACAAAATCGGAGTGGAACGACCGAGCTACAGGAGCGATAGATACATGAATACTGCTGCAGCAATAAACATATCAAAGTGAGATCGAATATTTATTGCAGCATAAGTTGGCTGGGTGAAATAACTTTTAAAAGTGCCCTCGAGTGATTTTGCATAATATGAGGAGGGTCAGGTTAGCACACCGCACTGTGACCCTAGCGACCGAGGTGTCATTAGGAAACACAAGGTGGTGCATTGATAGACTAATGACCCTCTTACTTTATTTCTCAGCAACTGTTTGATTAATTATAATCGACAGCAATGGCATCGCATGTTGCAGTGGAGGGTGTGAAAGGATGTACTGTACTGAGTTGTATTGAGACTGGTGGGAGATGGGCAAAGGCCTTGACATTCAATCTTGTTTTCGCTGTTTCATCTCCTTGCTTCAAGAGCTTGTCGCGTTATATTTTTCTTTAGTGTGGATTTGAAAATCCAAAATTTTAAGTTAAAAGAGGACGAATGTTACTGAAATGCCATCGATAACTTCAATTGGGTCTTACCTATAATCTATAATAAATATCATTCATGTATGCATCGGCTGCTTTTGTTGTTTTAACAGCAATTACCTTTGACATTATCGATGTTTAGAGGGACAGACTTTATTTAACCGTTTCATCATCACGAATAGGCAAATATCAGTGGTGATTATATCTGCAATTTCAATAATCTTGCACGAAAATTTGGCAAGTATTGCCCGTGCAATATTGACACACGTTTCTCAAAAATGATCTCACAGCTTAATAAATGTGTAAATAGTCATAATCGTGCATTACACCTGACAAGATGATGCATTTAACGTGATATATTTATAGCAGTTATTGATTTACATTTTAAGGACTGCAATCAGTGTAGTTTATTGTTTCCCAATTCCATTGACATTTCACTTTAGGTGACCATGGCTGGTAATGATGATGCATATTCTTGTTTCTGTCCTTTGTGCCCTATGACTGTCATACGTGTCAATGACTCCCATTGCATTAATGTGTTCTCACCTCAAGTCACCGTCTCTTATTTATAACCAAGTGAGAGTTCATTTGAGATAAAAAAACTATTGTCATTACATGAAGATAACACAATACAAACTAATATTATAATAGAACAAAGGTTTTGCAAAAAAAGCACGAATCTCTGTTATAACGACCAGGGGCCAAAACGTTGCCTAATATAAACATATCCATATTCCCTTATTAGCGCAGTGTCATCGACGAATATTTATATCAGTAATTTTCTATTCAAAAATATATGTTATCCGTACAGATATTCGCAAATGAGTTTTGTAAGCACCCGTACACCAGACAAAAAAATATACAAATTTGTTGAAAACTGAGCTACAGAAGATTAAATCATTTCTAAATGTGACGCAGAAGCAATGCGGTTCCATGTCCGTGGGACATCCACATTTTATCCATAATAGAGGTTTTTTGGAGTTAGATCGTGTAAATACATAAATGTGTCGTTAAACCCACCACCACCCGACACAGCCAACTAGTAAGGGTTGTCACATAAACAGAACGTGCCAATTCGTCACGAGTACAACACACCAGTGTGTTGGAGAGCCAAGCCACAACATTTATAATCTGAGTACGACGTTTCGCCAGTAATTACAACTAGCTTCATGTTCTGTTTCCGTGACAACCCTTACTAGTTGGCCGTGTCGGGTGGTAGCGGGTTTAACGACACATTTAACTATTTACGCGATCTCATCCAACAAACCCCTATTATGGATGATATTGGTCGCGAAAGCCTACTTGGCAAATCCACATTTCACTTGAAAACTCGTCTTATTAAAATCCCCGCACGTTTCACAACCTGCAACCACACCTGCGAAGCTACACAGCACCAGCACGAAAACCCCGACATAAGTACACGTCCTTAACACACCAGCACTGCAATGGGTGTTATATTACTCACTAAGTAAAAACTAAATAGACCATAATCATTCACACCTGCTCACTCTACGCAGGGGGCAGGTTAAGGAACGGGTCTGTTCCGCTCAAGAAGAAGAAGGAGAAGGGAAAAAAAACATTTAATCGCGTTTTCTGGATTTTCCTAGTCGGATTATTTGGCACTAAGCCCCCGTGTCAGGGACTGGGGGGACCCTGCACGTTGACTTATGGGGTGGCGTGGGCTATGCCTAAAACCTCGCGTCGCTACGCATTACCTAAGCCTGCCCTGACGCCCTGAAATGAAACTACTAAGGGCTGCGCGCAAACACCAAGGACACACGGGAAGGGATACACACGCCGTTAAAACGACAGGGACCTCGTGCAGACGTAAATCACAGGCGGTGAATTCACCCGTCTGTGTGTGTGTGTGTTGTGCAATGCTAAAGTGGTGAAACGACAGTGTACATTTGATGCGGAGGAAACTTTGGCTGTTGTCGTTGAACTATTCAGGTTTATCCGGCAGAGTTTGTTTAGAAACCGGATCTGAACGAAATTACAACCACAGCTTAGGTTAGCACTGTTGTGCCCGATCTTTGTTGTGTTTTTGCATGGTTGTGAAACGTCGGACATTGTGTAGAATCCACCTGCTGAACACGCGTGCTGCTGACAAAAAAAACTAAAACCGCATTGTTCCATCCATCGAGCTGAATGCAAATATTGGGTCATTTAAATTAACAGTATACGGAATTAAAAAAAACTGCTGGTAATTTTATTACATTTCTCTTTGCGTTCCGTAGATTTGGAGCTGTTCGCAGTTGTGCTGCTGTACGGCTCTCCGATGTGATTTGCGGGCTGTGTCGCGTGCTGTCCGTCACGATGTCCGACGTTTCGCTCCACGTGCTGGGAGCTTCTTCGTGCACTAAATGCAGTTCTAAGGGCAGTTCTCGATGTTCCACATTTGTCAGCACCCTGCTACCTTCGTAACACGCAAAGTGTTTTGAGATGTACGCTACACAGCACCGAAGGATCAATGCGTAACCGCAATTGCCATCTGTACGGCATATGTCGGTTGATCTATTTGTAGATACCCCACTGATGTTCACGTTATTTTTCATCTCACGAGGTCTACGAAATGTGTGAAAGCGATTGATCAGTTTGTTACAAAGCAGTGTTTTACGTCGTTTAAAAAAAATGTGTTGAGATTGATGGCAGACGTGTAGAATTTGTAGAAATTAAAAAGATTTAAAATGTATACATATTATTTTAGTAGTGTATCTACAACCAGATCGCCTTGTATGTGTGTGTGCATTCTTTGGTTTGGGTTATTTGGCTGCTATACATTTCCACATGATAAGCCACTTCGTTTAGCTGCCATGTGTGGCCAGGTCGCTTCTGATAAAAAAGAGCTATATAGCTAAGTGGGCCTTACGTGGTAAAATAAAAAATAAAGAGTTTAGTTGAATATTGTGTACACACTATATACACACATATATATCCGACACACGGGAGGCTTACAGGGCAAATCTATCTGCCTTACTCTGTGAGGGCTGTGGGATGAGAGGGACGAGAGGCAGTGGATGGGGAATTGAACGTTAACGTTGCGATGCAAACCGGGACGGAGGGAAGAAGCTCCCCGTGTGGGATCTTTCGCTGTGGACAGCAGCCCTGGCGACACGCGGGGAGGGAAGGAGGCTCGCTGCGAGACGGGAGCGCGACACGAGAGGAAATCGTGCGGCGTAAACCCCTCCCTTACCCATTCACACACCGGTGGGCTAAAGTAGTGAACTATTTGTCTTTTGTCAACGTGACACTTTTTTTGCCGATTGGCCGTGTCGGGTGGTGGAGGGTTACGACACATTTTTAAATAGCGCGATCTAACCCAAACACGTTTATTATGAACAATATTGGTCGCGAAAGCCTACGTGTTAAACTGACCTCCCTTACCCCCCCCCCCCCTTCCAAAAAAAAAAACCCCAACCGCTTTTTCAAGAGCCCGTTCCACCCAACCGCGGCGAGTAAACAGGGTGCGTGGCGGCCACTCCAAAGGACCTCACCGGTCGCATTTGGTTTGTTAGCGAAAGGTGGAGTGGGTGGCATGAGCGGTTAGCGTGCTGTGCTCCGGCCACCCGAGTTCACAATAAAAATTAGAATATTTAGTTATGCTGGAGGAATCCGATGAGCTACGAAGCTTTTTTTTTTTTTGCACAGACATCCAGTAATTTGATTCCCACTCACGGTGAACCCCAGTGACGATTAACTGAACCGATTCTGGGCCTCCCTTAGGTCGACTCAGCCTCAAATGAGCACCTGGTGTGGGGGAACCAAAGTGAACGGGCGTGGTGTTGGACAGTCACCCCGTGGCGAGGTGCTCGCTAAAAACGCTTCCACTGGCAGTCTGTTCAAGTGCTGCACGGGGATCTTTGTCTTTGGTGGAGCCGAGGCAGCAGTGGCTGTGAACCTCTGCGCCACCCAAGTTCAATTCTCGGCCACGGCTGACATCAGGTGCGAGTGATATTGGAACCGGACCAGTCCCGCATCCCCCCCCCCCCCACCACTTCCCTCACCTTCCATCCGCGCCGACCAAAGTGTGGTTAAAACAAACAAACAATAATCAACGTGGCATGTGGGGGCCTTCATCCAGCAGCGGATTGATCATGGCTGATGATGATGGTTGGTTGATGTTGGTTTGTCTTTGCGTTTATACTCCTTTGCCGTTTGCGTGCAGATGAGCACGCCTGGTTTGGATGACAGAACTTTAAATATAACTTTTTTTTCCGAACCGAGACGTGGTGTACAATGTAAGATCAAATGTGGCAACTGCGTGTTTTAATGGGTGCGCAGGCACATCTGAAAACACACACACGCCAATATCGACGTTTCAGGCAATGAGCCTTCTTCACCGCAGACAGCATGATGATATGATATTAGGACTTAAACATTTTTTTAAAAAATTACTCCTCATAAAATGAATTTGCCGAGCATCCCTATGCAGGACCCCTCCAAAACAATCAGCGATACTTTCCCAGGATAAATAAAAGGCATGGTAGGTAGTGTACTACTGTACCGTATTATTACATGCAAAAGCCAAACTACCATTACATCGTCCTCATCAGTAATGATCAATTCACTGCTGGATGAAGACCTTCACAAAGCGACCGCAAATGTTTACTTTTGCTTAACTCGTCATTGCCATAATTGTGACCATCTTTATTTAGATATTTTTTCCCCTTAAATTAGGTGCCTGACCCTTACCTGGGTCACCGTAAAAAAAACTCAACACATTCGTCCATAATGACTGTGGCATTATTAAAGGGTAAAATTAAATTAGATTAGAATAGGCGACGTTTCGGGCAATTGCCCTTTCGCTCATACCTGGATAATACGCCGACCGAATGAACTGTTGAAAGTGGCCGTCGAAGTACGAGTAGGGAAGTGCCTTGGTGGAGTACTCTTGCATGAAGTGTGTAGAGGGATCTGCAAATGAAGATCGAGCGCGTGATTCATTAACTTCAAATTAATTAACGTCATCAATTTCAACGGCAACGCTGTAGCGCATCCAACGCAGGCAATTTAGAGACGTGGATGCTGCTGTTGTTGTGCCACGTTGCGGAATGATATTCGCGAGCGATTAATTTCCACCCGTGCAAAGCATCGGTTAAACTTGCAACTTACACACACACACAAAAACACACGTGCGAAGTTATGGGACAGGGTTGAAAAAAAACGCGTACGACAGGATGGGTAGTCATTCGAACAAACAATATACATTTACGCACAGACACGCGGATGATGTCAGCATCATCGTTGTCTAAATTCTACAATGCATCGCTGCAATAATCATACACTTTATTTCGCTGTGGAAATTGCGCTGCTGTAAACTGAGTTAAGAACGGCGTGAGCGAGACGTTATCTTGTTTTCCGAGCGAACAGACTTACGCACGCGCACGCAGATACGCACGCACAAGTACCCGTACACAACCTCACACAAACGCGCTGACCCACGCAAAACCCACAATAACACATACACACCAACACACACTCACTCACAAATACACAAATGCAAACATACACACGCATGCATGCGCGCGCGCACAACCAGACAATCATTGTGCAACCACATCCACACACAAAGGCAAAGATCGCCCTATAGCCTTAACAGACTGTTGGGGCAAGTGCTATTGGCGAGCAACTATGAATGCCGGCACAGCACACGACAGGGCTGGGTGACCAGCACCACACACACTCACACACACGCGCGCACATTGACACGCACCAGATAATCCGCACCGGCAAAGCAAAAAAAGAGAGACCCTCATCTCACCTGACTTTGGCGGAGACGACAGGATGGCCCTCATGCCGAACTTGAGCGCGGTAGCCGCGTCGCTCGCCGTGGTCACGGGCATGCACGCCCCAGCCGCCGAGCACAGCGGCTCCGGGGGTAGCAGCCCCGCCGGAGGGGACGCGTTTGGAGGAGGCGCGGGACCCTGCCGCCCGTGCCCGTAGCCCCCAGGGGGACCCCGGTTTATCCTGAGCAGCTCGTCTATGAGAAAACTTGCACCAAGCGTGCGCGATGGTTGATGAATGCCCGCTGCTGCCTGATGCTGATGATGATGTTGTTGCGGTTGCTGATGATGCTGCTGCTGCTGCTGTTGAGACGAGCTGGAGTTCCCAGCCGACACGGGGAATCCCAGTGTCGGCGTGGGCCGGTACACTGCGTGGAGCAGGTGCTGCTGCTGCTGTTGCTGCTGCTGCTGGTGATGCTGCTGCTGCTGCTGGTGGTGGTGGTAGAGCGCTACGTTGGCCAGGGCACTCGGGAACATCATGGGTGTGAAGGTGCTGTCCCCAGGCTGTGTCTGGCTTTTGCGCAACACAGACACGAAGGAGGGCAGGAGTGAACCAATTGGCGACCGCAGCAGAGAGCTGCTCTGCGCCGTGTTTACAAATCACTTTGGGTGGCTTTTTTTTGCTCTTTATAGGGCTCAGGCCACCTTGCGTGGCTTTACGTGCGCATGCTTTTGTACAATGCACTTTTTACGAGCCGTGCGCCTTAAACGAGGGAGTTATTTTTTTATGCTCCCCATTGGCTGAAATCGATTCACGTGGGTGAATTTCGCTTTGTCGTCCCTACGTCCCCCCCCCCCACGAGAGAGCGGCTGCTTTGAATAACAAAGGTGTCCGTCAGCCCCCACGGAGGGACGAAGGATTTTTTTTTCTCTCTCCCTCCCGTCCTTTTTTTTTTACGGACCAATGAATTCAGTGATGGGGATGCTGCCCGTGCAGTGAAAGGGAAACTCCACACGTCGTTCTAAGTTTTTTTTAAAGTTATATGCCTAAGATTTTTTTTGGGAGGAGGAGGGAGGGGTGAGAAGGGAGGAGGTGGGTAGGTGGGTGGCGCGCGCGCGCGCGCGCACACGCGCGGGGTGGGAGAGAGAGAGAAAGCTAAGGATTTATTGAAGAGTAATCTGTGTTGATTTCGATGTCGTTACACACGCATGTTTTCAGTGGGCTCGCAAAGCGGGGGTAGGCGTAAGGCCGTGCTGCTGGAACCCGAGTCGCAGACGTTACTTAACGTTAGCTCGTTCGCTTGCTCATCGCAAAGCAAACTCTTCGCGCCAAGCCCACAGCTGTGCGACAGAGTTATTTATTGCACTGTTGATGCCTTTGGCGTGTACAATATATAATGACTAACGACAAAAAGCACTGCCGCCTTTGTAAAGTCCATTACGGAACGAAGGTCTTCCCACGCTGTGTCGGAAGTTGGGCGTTGTTTGATCGATCGTTACCTTCTGCAACCCAAGCTGGGCAATCAATATTCGCGAAGGGCATCGATCCGCAGCGGTTCAGAATCACACGGCCACCGATGTTAGCCGTGACCGGGAATCTAACTCATCTCGCCAGACTCAAAAGCGCCCACATGTGCGCAATTAAGTCATTACAGCATAGCTCTGTTTGAACTGTAGCAGATTCATATTTTCGAAACTTGTTTTAAAGGATAATCGACTGCATGACTATGTAATTCTTACGTATGTTATTGTTTTCAACTTGTTACTTCCCGCTCTCGTGCAAATGCCTCCCCATATTTTCATCCATTCCTTACTTTCCGTAATATCCTGTCTAACCGTGGCCTCCAAACTCTGTGATCTCATCTCGTTCCTGCCCTCGCCTTTCTCTGTCTTCCTCTCTTGCTGTCGCTCGGTCTCCACTCCGTTCGTCAGCTTTGTTCATCATCATCATCACCACCGGGGAGGCGCATCGAGCGTGTGTCGATTTTATTTGTATACCTCAACGAAATTAAATCTGTATTCTCGTGAAGGCGTGCATCCGGCGGTGATGTTGCGAGGACCGGAGTCTTTGGACAGAGCCCTCTCTAGGGTACGGCGAATTACCATCATCACCATCATCATCATCATCAACTCTCATCAGATGTTGCCACGGTCATTTCCACTTGATATTTTTTTCTTTAATAAGATCATTGGTGGCCGATGATCATCTTCTTCTTCTTCCTCCTCCTCTTCCTCTTCCTTACAGTTATCCGCATGTTCTCAATGCTAACGCGTGGAGTACGCGTCGCGAGATGCGCAAGACTGAACCGCACGCACGCCCGTTCACGTGGTTGCACGCGCGGGGTGCGACACGACCACGACTCATCAATCACGATGACTAATGGTGATGGGCCTCATAAAGACGTGCCAATCTATCGCGGCAAAGTAATTGCAATTGCGCGACAATTGCCTGCGGTAATAAATAAGTGCGTTCACGCGTGAGCGCACGCCAGCTTTTGGCGTATGCGCCGTATTCTCTGGATCACAAGACGCACTTGTCCCTGTCGCTTTATAAGCAAGAGTTGAAGGTGCTTCTCGTTTACCCCCTGGTGTGAGTGTGTGAGAGAGACCGAATTTGTATCATATTATTAACACCGGGCACATATGGGATGCGTAGAGCATCTTACAGTCTGACAAATATGGCAATTGTCGCAGGTCCAGTCCCATGTATTACGCATATTCAAAAGCGAAGAGTGTACACATATATATGCACAAGTAAATGACATTCAAAACTCATTAATCTTTATTTACAGCCTTTATTATCAATTAATTGCCAGATGAAGGCTTCACCACGCCGTGTCGGTCATAGGGACTCATTTGACCATACTTCACCCCGTTGGTCAAAGGGAGATGGTGAAAGGGGGTAGGGTTAGCGCGGCGCTGCATGCCCGGTTCACGCATCACATGGCACTGTTCGCCGTAGCCGGACACAAAACATATATACTTATTTAATGCTGAGTCAACCTAGGGGAATCCCAGGACTAGGTTGAGCGCGAAATAAACTGAGCACAAAAAGCAGGTCTGAAGAAATTAGTTTAAAATTTAAATTTTAAAAGTCCGCAGTCCGGGAGCGTCGTTCGTTACCCGGCAGCACAGCGCACTGACCTGCACGTCCCCGACATCTGCTCTTGAGACGCGCAAGATCTCGATTTTAACTTCAATCGGCGCTCTCCTCGCTCCTCGCGGGATGCGTTTAGCAATCATCGGGCGCGTCGAGCATATGCGCATTGACGGGTTTTTTTTGTATAACTGAACGAAATTAAATCGTGATTCTCGTGATAGATGTGCGGTCCCGCGGTGGTGGTGTTGGGATGACAGGAGTCTGCGAACAGAGCCATCCTTAGAGTACGGCGAAGAGGAGCGACTGCCCCGGGCCCCGCGTTTGGGGGGGTGGGGCGGGGGGGTGCGCGCTTCGATGTCACGGTATCAGGTGTAATACTTCAGGTTTAGTTCGAAGGCGTCGGCGGGACCACACACTGGGATTTCCCCCAGGCACCGCACTCCGCTATGGACGGCCCTGTCCGTGAAACCCTGGCAACCCACGAGGCCGTTGTAGTATACGGCGCGATCATGGTCAGCAACGCAGGACTTGCAATCCAGAAGTCGCCAGTTCATTCTACCGGCACCGGCAGTTGAAACAACGGACAATATTACTATACTCTTTTGTTCTTTCGGTAACGTCACGTAGGTATTAAATAAAATAAATCACGACGTTTCGGGCGCTTGTGTTGCGCCCGAAACGTCGTGATTTATTTTATTTTGTACCCACGTGACTTTACCGAAAGAACAAAAGAGTATGGATTCCTGCAGTCACGAAAGCTTCAAATCACGACGGACAATATTCGTATATATTTCCACACACACACACAGGTATAATCCCCGCCTACGTGAATCGCAGCAGTGTGACTACGTAACAACCGCCGTGAGGTGATCGGCCAGGTCGCGTGTGGGTGGGATAACGGTGGCCAATGCTTCCACCTCTCCCAAGACGTCTTGGAAGAGTAGGCCAAAGTACTCTCGAGAAGGGGCGCTCGAGTGGAAGCCCCCATCCGCCCGCCAGCGGGATGATAAGAAAGCGATTGCAGGGTCGCGCCTTTAGCTTACTAAATAATAATCTCTAGGTCTCGTTGATATTTTAATTGAAGGGCAATAAGGTGGCGCTGAGCCGAGCACGATGATCACTTCGCAGATGGGACCCGGACCAGCGGGCGGTTGGGGTTGGTGGTAGGGGGGGAGATTGGCCGAAGCTGGTGGAAGGAAGCGGTGGGGAGGTGGTGGTGGCGTGGGGGGGGGGGTGTGGCAGTGTTGATTCGGGGGTCGAGTGAGTGACCGGAGCGGAATAGGAGTGGGCCTGTGGATCGCAAAAAAGTGTGTGGGGGGGGGGGGGGAGTGCCGTGTAAACGTGTGTCCGTGAAATAAGAACTGAGCGCACGGCAGCTTGAGATTAGAGCCTTCTGGGTTGCCCCTATACGCCTACAGCATCAGCCAATTATTTGTGTATCAGCCAATTATCATGCCGCACAAAGTCGGGCTTGGCTTTTTAAATAAATAAATTACTATTTAAGCGATTTACGATTCAGAATAGACTCACGGGCTTGTGTGTGTCCCCCCCCCCCCCCCTCCAAATCGCGTTATCTCGCCTCTGCGTGTCTCGCTTATAGAAGGCGGGGTAGATCTGAGGCTATCGGGATGGGTCTGCTGTCGGCCAATCTACGTGCAATTCATTTTCTATATATATGTTACGTGTATGAGAGAGAGAGAGAGGGTGTGTGTTGCACTAGATTACTTTGTGCAAGTGGAATATTTTTTGTTTAAATAGCTAGTTTTTTCCAGAATGGTAGAGTATATATAATGGGTGCGTTGGAGTACCGAATACTTCTGATTGTAAAGATGCCCCGGAAAGTAAGACGCAATCAAAACGTGTGCCCGTCGCCAAGGAAGTTATCCACATATAAGACACAGATTCCTCTGTAGCCTTAACAGACTGTTGAGGCCAGTACTGTGAGTGAGCACCTATCAAGGTAATGTTGACACATCACACTCGATACTCATTTAAGGCTCAGTTTACTCAGGGAAGCCCCAGGACTGGTTCTGATTATCGTCACTGGTGTTGGCCGGGAGCTGGAATTGAACTTCGGTAGTCGAGTTCGTAGCGCAGAACGCTAAACAACTACGCCACCCTTTTCCTGATGACGACCGCTTGTGTTGCGATCAAAAAGTCGTAGTTTTTTTTGTTATTTTTTTACCTATCTACGTGACTTTACCGAAAGACCCAAAGAATAACTACACCACCGCTCCAACAACAATATTCACCATTGGCAACTAAGTGGCGGTGACCTCATCAAAGCACTTGTGCCAGGCTAGGTGCACTTTGATACCGCGTGAGATGTAGAAAGCTCGCTGGCAGGAGGTCACGGGACAGACCCAGGTTTTTGGTTTGAATAGCTGAGATGACTACCGATCCCCACATATGGTCTCGCACACACACACGCTTATCGGATTATAAAATGCACCCCCCCTCCAAATCTCTGCTTTATAATACAGAGGAGAAAGTGCGTCTTATAATCCGGAGAATACGGGATACATGCCTGTGCGACTACACCGATTAGTGTGTCGCACGATCGTGAGAAATGGTGACGGCTCAGAGAGAGGGCATCGTCATCATCATCGTCCAGCAGTGGATTGATCATGACTGCTAAATCCGAATGTGTAAATGACGAGACAATTCCCATCATGAACATTGGCCAAGGTTCGAAAACAA